AAGAATTTTTTAAACAATTTTTAAGATTTTTCATGTTGTTTCATGAATTATTTTTCTCAGAAAAATGGCTTAAAAATTTTCTAATATATATAATTTTGTAGAGTTCGACCAGTTCTATCGAACCATGTAAAAGTATCCAAGAAAAAGATGTTGAACTCATTTTTGAATTAATAGTGCATTAATTTTCTATGTTTGACATTAAAAAAGTTGTCATCACTCTTACCATTTAGTATCAATAAATCCTATTTTCGACGAGCTTTCATTTGTATAAAATTCATTACTTGCTCTATTTGAAATTCTAGCGCTACCCCCCTAGAATAACATTTTTACCAACCCTGTAGAATGTTCGATAAACCATTTATTGTCGGAAATAAATATCTTTAACAAACTATCGAAATATCTCAAGTCTACTTATTTGAGGATTCTTCGGATATATCACAGCCGAAGAAACACTCGATTGCCGACTTTTCAAAGAAAACAAATCGTTTATCGATCATGTCAGGATCACAAGAACTTAAAAGGAAAGATATTTGTCGGTTTCAAACTGATATTTCTGTAATGCTTGTAGGTATGAAGTCAGTCACATCTTTAGGGATACACTTTGAATACCAGTAGTTAATTTTCAAGATTCAGAAAATCCTTGACAGCTTTAAGCGTTTTCAAACATAGTGGCAAGTGAGGAAAGTCTGGCAAGCCGTGAACAGAGAACGGGAAATCATTATCAGGATTGACAGGATCGATGGAGACAAAGTTGTCATCACTGTGAAGAAATTTCCGGCAGAGACTAGCTGTGTGTGAGATAAACGGGATTGCAACTTGATTGTTCCTAGCCAACTGATGGAAAGGAATCAAGAAGTCGTCATTGTTTTTCATTCCATGGGAGTGCACCGCAGCATCCTGCGTGTTGAATGAATAAGAGACTCGTCTCTCAGAACGAGGCAAAGTTCAGAACTGCAAGTGATCACCTCCATGGAAAAATCGGTCAGGCTGTTACGCGACGCCTTTCTAGAACGAACGATTAGTTATGCCATATGTACTATGACCTAACTCTGAATAATTTAGGGATCGATCGCTACAATTTGTCACTGACAGTCGTACATGGAACTCGAATCGCTACTCTTTGGCTGTAAAATAGTTGAGGACAATGTAACATTGCCTATTACGATGTAAAATCGCTGAGGATACTGCAGAGGACTAGACAAATCTTAGCAAAATATGTTGACGAGATAGAAGAGAACAGTTGAGTGGTTTTCTACGTAACAGTCTTTCCTTGTTCTGCCAGTTTCTGATTTTGACCCATCTGTAGTCAATCTTGATTGATCTCTTACAAACTTTGACTGTCTCGCGTCAGCTCTAATCATGGGAAAACATGAGCAACCACGTGAGACCTCGAGCAGATAATAATAAACATGAAGAAGTTATGAACTAACTGACATACAGTGGAACATGAATAAGAATTCTAGATACGCGTGACAGCACTCAACAAGAGCACCACTATGTGCGTCGAGACAACGTAAGATCTGAACGAGGTGTGATTTACAGAAAATCTTCTTATTTTTCACTTCATGTCCTTAATCTTCCTCACGATACCTCACCGTTTTCTACGCATACTGTGCTTGGTGTCTTTTTGGAAAGTATCTTCAATTTTCTGGAAGTTCGAAAATCGGTCTTATTTCTCCCAAGTTACTTCTCTCACAAACAATTATAAGAATTTCTTACTTCATCGTGATTTTTTTCGGAATATTTAGATACTCAATAGTGATTTCACATAAGTGTACATTCATTTGAAGAAAGTCCAACGCGGTTCTATCATAAAATTATACAACGGTTTGATATAAAAACGCGAAGCAAATAAATGAACTAAGAAAAAGTGACAAAAACAATTGCAAGCATGTCAATACGAACGATCTATATTGTTTTCTTCATGATCATTGTCCTGGTCAGTCAGCTGACCAAGTCAGGTAGTTAAAAAATTGTTTAGAATCTTGATTTTATCTTCATCTTTGAAAGAACGACGTTGCCGCTGTATTGCAAACGATTCGACTTGTTGGCCAAATAGTACAGTTTGGCAAGGATTCAATCAATCTATTGACGGACGTCTTGTTATACCTCAGTCATCAGCTGCGGTTTGTTCTTCGACTCAATTTAATGCATATATGTGTGCTTTGGCCAAAACTCAATGGACTAATTCATCATGGCGTATTGATCAAGTGGGTACAATGCAAAGTTACAACTGGGAAAATACTTCTTGCTCAGTTTTCATTGAAAACTCTACATGTGATCAAGGAGCAGTGCCTGTTTTGGCTGTCAATGCTACGCTACCTGAACATGTTCAAACAACTATTCAATTCGTTCAGAGATATAATCTCCGTTTAGTTATTAAAACAAGCGGTCACGACTTCTTAGGTCGTTCGACAGCCTATGGTGCGTTGCTTCTTTGGGTTCATTATATGAAAAATATGACACTAATTGATATATACACAGGATGCGGTAATGTGGTGCCAAATGCGATTCGTCTTAGTGCAGGTGTTGAATGGGGTGAAGTATACTCATGGCTAAATGAACACAATTTAACTGCGATAGGAGGATCATCAGGTACAGTGGGTAGTGTAGGTGGTTATTTACAGGGAGGTGGCCATAGCATACTGTCACGTTGGAAAGGATTGTCCACCGATAACATTCTTGAATTCGATGTTGTCACAGCCGATGGGCAACGTCAGACGGCAAATGCTTGTCAAAATAAGGATTTATTCTGGGCTTTAGCAGGTGGAGGGGGTGGTACTTTTGCTGTTGTACTTAATGCTGTTCTACGTACTTATCCATCACCACCTCTGATTGTTTTTCTGTGGTACATTTCTCCGCTGAATGGAACACGTTATGACAATTTCATTCGAGATGTAGTGAAATTTTTACCTACACTTGCAGACGGGAACTGGTCGGGCTATTTTTCATTCTATGACGCAAGTGCTTCGTTAGCATTTATATGTCCGTATGGAGATATGAACGTTGCCAATGCGACAATAAGTGGTTTTATTCAAAACAACACAGATCTAGATTTGACCAAGGAAGTTCTCTTTTCATCACCATCATTTTATCCGTTCTTCAATACTGCACTTGAGCCAAACAATCCGACAGGTGGCAATGTCTTACTTGGGTCACGTCTGATTCCTGAAGCCATCGTACATAATCAATCTGACGATGTAGCGCAGGCATTTATTGATGTTCGAAATAACAGAATAAATCAGGGGCAACTAATCGGACATCTTATAGCTGGTGGACAAGTGTCGAAAATCAATAATGATACCAGTGTCAATCCAGTGTGGCGTACAAGTCTGATTCACATCATCTACGGTACCGGATGGCCCGATTTGACTTCCCAAGCGGATCAACAAGTAATAGCTAAACATGTCACTAGCCAGGTACAAATTTTACAAAGAATTGCCGGTGGTAATCAGTCTGGTTGTTACATGAATGAAGCTGATCCGAATGAACCGAATTGGCAACAGAAATTCTTTGGCACACAAGAAAATTATGATCGACTAAAAGCGATAAAAAATGCAGTGGATCCACTTGGATTATTCATTTGTAAGAATTGTGTGGGCAGTGATGATTGGACACTGGATCTCAATTGTCCGAAAATAGCAGATATTTCGACAACATCCAATCCTACGACGACATCAACTTCTGTCAAGCTCGACTTCACAGTGTCGTGTATACTGGTAGTGATTCTTCTACTGGCCTATTAAAATGTATTTTTTAAGAACTACCAGCCGAAAAAAACCAAAGCTACGAACACATAATTCAATTTGAAACAGAATAATTATTTATTACAATTTGTTTTCTTTACTCTAATTTCGTTAACTATATTGGTTGAATATACACCAGCGATTTTGTATCGAATGTTCTCATAGCTTGATTTTTGATCTAGGATAACTGCTGTCAGCGTGAAACATAGTTTCACATGAGAGCTATGCAGTCCATTTACTTTTTTTGGATCACGATTGGAAATGAATGTTGAAGTACATAGGATGAGAATTGGGCACATGTTTCACAGGCCATGATAGGAATGTCGACATACTATTTTGAAGCTCGCGACCACGGATTTATTAATTTATTTAAATATGTCCTTATTTCCTAGGCCAACAGTTGAAGATATAGAATTAGTAAATAGGTAATTCATTTGTATCTGTGTGTCTGTCTGAAGCGCACCCACACCAACACGCGCACCCACACCCATTAAAAAACATTGTTAGGAAAAAGTCGAACAGTGCAAGCAAAAAAACTAAGCGAAT